AGCGGGGGGAGGCGGGGGGCGGGCGCGCTGTTGGCATCTTCGTCTGCCGGGCTGCTGGGGCCGAGGGGGGTGTCGGGCTGCGGCTCCGGCTCGGGATCCTGTAACGGCATCACGGGCAGAAGAGGCTCGACGGGCTCGGGATTTTATTCCCGCTCAGGAAATAGCAAATAAAATGGTGGTCAGCCGTAGCGTTATTTTTCGGTACTGGTGCTAACCACTGCATGGTAAGTTAAAGGTATACATTAATCCTACAGCCCAGTTTTTTGAAGTCTCCGCCTGAATACACTCCAAGCCTGGAGTTTAATTTTGGATCTAAAGAATGCGTAAGTCCTCCAAAGAGTGGTTTCGGTGTGTGCTTGGGTTGACCCTGGTAGGCTGCTGAGCACCAGCCCCCCCAGCCCCTCCACCCCCTGCAGTGGGATGGGGAAGAGAAGCAGAAGGGCAGAAGTGAGTAAACAATGGCAATTTAAGAGGTGAAGCAAAGCTGTGTGTGCGTGCAAAGCAAAATGAGGCGTTTATTCGTTCCTTCCCACCAGCAGGCAGGGTTTTAGCCATTTCCAGGAAAGCAGGGCTTCATCATGTCTAACGGTGACTTGGGAAGACAGGTGCCGCGATGCTGCATGTCTCCCCCTTCTTCCCCCAGCTTTTATTGCTGAGCACCGGGTCATACAGTATAGAATAGGCCTTTCGTCAGTTTGGTTCAGCAGTCCCAGCTGTGTCCCCTCCAAGTAGGGCTTGTGTCGCCCTACTGGGACAGGGAGGAGCATGAGAAACAGAGAAGGCCTTGATGCTGTGTAAGCACTGTTCAACAACAGCTAGAACAGCAGTGTGTTTTAAACACTGTTTTGGTCACAAAGCCAAAACACAGCACACTACAAGCTACTATGAAGAAAATTAACTCTGTCCCAGCTAAAAGAGGTACAGTGTGAAAGACAAAAAGGTGAAATAACAATCTTAAATGTTGTCATGCATTTTTTATTTTGCCTGATCTATTTCTTTTCAAAGGACACAAAGTCTAATTGTTTACAATAGGAGAAATTGGGCTTAGGAACGTACAGCAGATTATAACAGAGAAGTTTAGTGTACAGGGACGTGTGTGTCAGTTCTAATGGCACAAATTAAGTATACAGCAACACTGTATATTGGTCTGGTTTACCTTCTTTGTATTTAGAATAGAAATGGCCAGCTTAATTTTTTTTAGAGCAATATTTTGTGAATAGTGGAATAATACTGCCCTCAGTTTAATCCTTCAAACAATATGCTGCTGACTTCAGAACATACAAGAGAGGAAGAACATTGATGTTTCAAAGAGTCTTTCTGAAAAAGATAAGCTATCAAAAGATTAGCAACAGACGATATAGGTAAAGATGGTAAATGATTGTTAGTCTTTGGAATTTTTATTTTTATTTAAGCACCAGTGGTTTGTGTTGTTACTTTTGGGGAACACCATAAAGCAGAGGATAGGGAATAACTTTTTCCAAAAATAATAAATTAATAAGGCTATTAGTGGCGGCTTTTTAGTTAGACCCTGGATAAACCAGAGATTAGGCTGTTTATTGTTCCTATACTACTGAATCTAGTACTGCATATTAGTGACTGAAACTTTGCAATCATCTCTCGTCAATTGCCCCTTATCCTCACCCTAGATCGGGAGATATAGTAACAAGCCGAGTTATAAAAAATTAAACTCCATGTAGACATTGCAAAGATACTGAATTGAGCAGCATAGAAGGTCTTCAGCTGTCTCAGTGCAAAGAAAACAAATTACAAAGGAAGGCCACAATGCAGAGAACATGTGGGGGAGATTAATAATGACCTAGGAATGGCTCTTGAACTAAATTAGCACTTTGTTCCACCCTTTAGGAAGGACAATGCTAATGGTGGAGGGTTAAAGAAGGATGACGGAAAAGAAGGTCTGAAAATAGAAGTTGTACAGCAAAGGTAAAAAAACATTCCAGTTGGAAGGTGATAATGAATAATTCCCATTCCAAAATTCTAAGAAGACGGACATAGTGGTACAATGTGGCAAAAGAAAGCATGAGCAGTTGCTTGGTTTAGGAAGGGAAAAAAAGATTACTTAAGTATATGCAAGTTTGTAAGTGCAATCTTGATCACATACAAGGTTTTAGAGTAGATTTTAGAAGGACTATGACAAAAGAAATACGGAGAAATGTGATTAATTTAAGCAACCTGATCTAGTGAAAGATGTCCCTACCTACGGCGGGGGGGGTTGGAAGGAGATGATCTTTAAAAGTCCTGTCCAACCCAAACCATTCAATGATTCTATGATTCTAACTGGGGCAAGAGCTCTTTATTATGACCTTGCTGCAGAAGAAAACACATTGTGTAACAGCACTTGGCTGAAAGACTGGGTAGATGTATTAATCTTTGGCTGATGACAAGCTCAGATGTGTCTGTGCAATGTGATGCATCTGCAAAAAATGTAATCCTAGCATATGTTAAGAAAGAAAATTTCCAACAATGATGAAGGCTTATCACTGTCAGGTACAAATGGACAAGCAACAGAGATTTCTGGTCTCCTGTGCTATAGATTAATTGAAACTAGGCCAACTGCACAGATGCAACTGTCAAGGAAGAGTGTTTCTTATGAGATGGTATTAGAACAGCCTGTCTTGTTTAATGAAAAAGTAGCAACTGTGAAGACTAGGAGGTGATATGACTGCACTCAATAAATGCAATAGAGAGGAAGAAGGGCTCTTTACTATTAAGGGGAATACTGAAAAAGAACAAACTGGTGCAAAGTAGCCATTGATACCATTAGCTAAATTTAGTATTAAACCAAATCTGCATAAATTGTATCATGTTCTATTTGCATAGTAATTGTAATTAAAAGACACAAAACCAGAATGAATTATTGTTGTTGTTACTGTTTTTATAAAATGAACTCTTTTAAATATGCTGGAAGCATATATTTGAAGTTAAAATTTGCCAAGTACTGTCTATAGTGAGGAAATATAAATGTAATGTTCCTAATTAATCTGACTTACATATTTTCTGACTACGTATCTGTGCTGTTAATTTCAGGGGATCAAAATTAATGAGTCACACGTTGGGAAAACCATGAATTCCACTCCTCAAATAATTACATATTTCTTTTATTTAAGATTCTGTGTTCTGGTGTGTCTTGAGTTCTATATTTTGCTCTTTTTCTCTGCTTCTAGAACCTCCTGTTGTTTCAGATCGCTCTTACAGTTCCTCATCAGAATCTGTATTTACCTATTTTAATTAGGCCTGTAGTATGTTATTGAAAAAATTATTGCCCAAGAAACACAGATATACAGTATATTTTTCTAGTTCTCTCTAAGTATGTGTGTGAACTGCAGATATATTAACATGCAAGATTAATTTCCAGAAGGAAACTTAAGTAGGCTTAAAAAAATGACCTAAGTGCCTAGGTTTGATTTGCTTCAACAGCTCCACACTCAAGTTTGTAATTTAGATTAAGGTCTTGGGAGGCAACTGTATGCTTTGCTCAAGAGAAGGAAAACTTGTTTTTCTGGTAGGTGTGGCTGCTGTTACCGACCTTAAAGAACACCAGCCATCTGAAATAAAATGTGTTGGCAAGTGTCTTAGATATCACACCAGCATTTTCCTCAGTACTGTTCTGTATTGAACAGTTCTTGCAATTTATCTTAAAAATATTTAAGTTTTTATCTGGTTAGAATAAAGACCTTGTATATTATACCTTAGCAAAAAATAAATGGAGGACTGAACGGAACTTCACTCAGCTGTCTGCTTTAAAAGGTACTTTTTCCTTTCTGATGGTTACTGTTCAAAACACAGTTGAAAAGACATACTTTTTTATTGTTGTTCATTATTTATAGCTAGCAAAAGCAGAAGAAATAACAGGTAATAAATTCATTGTATTATTTACTCTTGACATGTTTTGATACTTCTTTAGGAAAAGCTATTTATTCTATAAGACTGAATAATATTTTAAGTCATAAATAGGTAAGACTGAGGAAAAAATGTTAAATGTGACCTACTCTATGTTGTAAGAATGCTAAAATATATAACAACCTGGGAATAAGAATGCTCAGGGGAAACTTTTTGTCTGACTTCAGATTCATTAATAAAAAGACTTACAAAATTTGAGTTGTTCTCAGTCACAAATCTCCAGCAGAAAGTTGCATGACAGTAGCAGGCTCTTATCATGTATTTGCAGTTCTGCTCTAAATTGTAAGGACTCCTAGGGGCGACTCTCAATTTCAGAGACAGAAGAGTCAGTGCTATCTGCTGCTGCTGTTCTGCTTTGCGCCTAGTGTGATGTAGTGAGATTTCTGGTGCCGTACGACTGTTGTGGTCTGTAAAGCAATTTCTTGGTAGCTAGGAAAGGCTGCTATAAATTGTATCAGCCTTGGCAAATGGGGTATTTTAAGCGGTGTGTTGTGACCATAGTTCTCCTTGCTTTGCTTTTTCAGGAAAGAGCAATTGTGAAAATATTGCACATTACTCTGAAGGCGTGGGCAATTATTTTTTGCCTAAACTCAGTTGAGGTTCAGAAGCTAGATTGCTGTATTCAGAAGCTAGATTTTACTGGCTGGAAACTATTGTGTTTAAGCAGAAAACTGGACCCTAGGGGAATTTTTCAAGCCAAGCAGTGAAGTTGCCAGTGAATTTAGGCACTTCCAAAGTTATGAAGCTGCTGAGTATGATATTTGGATCAAAGCTATGGTTTTAGGTTCTTTCTAGTTTTGTATCTTTCTTTCTTTTTGAAAATGCTAGTTTTCTGTTCTATCACAAAACAGTATCAAGATAGAGGCTCTCAAAATAGCTTTATCCAATGTGTGAAATGCAAAAAAAAAAAAAAAAGTATGAAATATTGGGTTTAATTATTATTTTAGAATAGACTGAATAATATGCTTTGGAAAAATATTTTTAGATATTTAACATGTGCATACTCTCTGAAGATACTTAGATTGCTAAATACTTAAGCAAGTGATTTTAAGAGTCTTGGGAAAGAAATGAAAGGACAAGAAATATGAGACTTTTCCAATATCTGCTACACATATGACATTGCTACCTATTTTAGCTAGAAAATATATACCTAGAAATCCGGGTCTTTTATTGGTATGGGTTTTTTTCTCAGCAGCTGGCTTGCGCAATAGAGTCAGTTTATTCCATCTTGGCATTTTAACCCACGCTTCTTGCTGGCAGTCGGGGATACTCTCTTCTACCAGTCCAGCTTTCTGATCTAATATGAATTTGATTAATCTGGGGCACTCTTCTTCCAAGAATCTCTGTGGTGCAAGCAGGCCTTCAAAGAGACTTGCTGTCACCTTACTGTTACGGATCACATCTGGATGCCTGAAGATGAATTTGTAGAGGAAACTTTAATCTGAGCAACATTTGCAGAAATTACTGCTTGGGAATGCCATGAACTCCCTGTCAGGCATTAACACTTGCTAGCATGTGAGTGCTGCTAAAGACTTTGGCCATCCAGGTACACAAGGATGCCTGTCTGGTCCTGCAGCAGCAAGAGTTTTAAGACCTGACCCCCAGACCATGCCAGGAGCTGAGCCAGCATTAATGCAGTGTGAGGAGGCCCAGATCTCTAGCAAGCATAAATGAGGCGACTTTCCCTTGCAAGCCCTGCCTTGTACGGTGCTAAGTAGGGTAGAGCTGATAGCTGAGAATAAGTTTTATACCTGCATAGATTTCACCTGTCTTCTGCTGAATTGTATGAATTGACCTTCCTCTGTATGTATTGTCTCATCTGTGGTGAACTGCAAGTTAGGGAATTTATTTAGACTTTTGAGATTGTATCTGGACCATCATGAGCAATCCCCAACTGCCATGTTTTTTATGAACTTGATTAATTCTCTATGCATTTAATTTATATATCTGCCGCTAACTTGTCTGTGGGAGGTCCAGTTGAGTTTTTTTGTGTGTACAATTTACACATACACTGTGTGGGGAAAAAAAAAAGCTTTTGTTTTGCTTTAAAAATTACTGCTTAATTATTAATTGGATGTTCTGAAACTTGGATTATAGAAAATAACGAATAATGGCTCCTTGTTCTCCTGTATATAGACCTCTATCATATTCTCTCACAGAACCCGCCATGTACAGAAGCTGTTCCACACGTCTGACATACAGAGGCATTCAGGGTGTCACATACTGCATCATCCATCCCATTAAAGGTGTCTTCTGTGATTGATTTTTCATAAAAACACAGCAGCTAAGTCTCTGATTAAGTCAGTGCACAGTGATAGAGATTTGCCCCCCACAGTGTCTGTGAAATTCTTGAGCAATGATCATGACTCAATATTATCTTATACTACATATTTTCTTTTCTGCAGATGCAGCAGCATAAAGTGCAAGGACAAAGAAATTTGCATCCACGTTTAGATACATTCAGAATGTTGTGTGGTGGGAAAAAATCTTACTTGGCTGCTGCTGTGTGCGTTATTACTCTAACTTCAATAGTCACACTTTCTTATCTTCAGTTACAGAGACTTTCTCACCTGCCAAAAATAATTCAAGAAGGTAGCAGATGTAGAGGGAAGATTACCAATAGCACAATAACAGCATTAAAAGATAACAGAACTTTTATTATATCCCCATACTTTGATGACAGAGAAAGCAAAATCACTCGTGTGATTGGGATTGTTCACCATGAAGATGTAAAACAACTATACTGCTGGTTCTGCTGTCAGCCCGATGGAAAGATGTATGTATCAAAAGCAAAAATTGATGTCCACTCAGATAGATTTGGATTCCCTTACGGTGCAGCAGATATAGTTTGTTTGGAACCCAAAAACTGTGAGCCAACACATGTATCGATTCATCAGTCTCCACCTGGAAATACTGACCAGCTGCCAAGGTTTGAAATTAAAAACCGCAAAGCTGAGACCTTTTCTGTTGACTTCACTGTATGCATCTCTGCCATGTTTGGAAATTACAACAATGTCTTGCAGTTTATACAGAGTATGGAAATGTACAAGATTCTTGGGGTACAGAAAGTGGTGATCTATAAGAACAACTGCAGCCATCTGATGGAGAAAGTCTTGAAGTTTTATATGGAAGAAGGAACTGTAGAGATAATTCCCTGGCCAATAAACTCACACCTCAAGGTTTCTTCTAAATGGCATTTCATGCAAGATGGAACACACATTGGCTACTATGGACAAATCACAGCTTTAAATGACTGTATATACCGTAACATGCAGAGGAGCAAGTTTGTGGTTCTTATTGATGCTGATGAAATAATTCTTCCCCTTAAGCACCCAGACTGGATGACAATGATGAGCAGTCTTCAGGAGCAAAACCCGGGGACTGGCATTTTCCTCTTTGAGAACCATATCTTCCCAGAAACCATATCTACTCATGCGTTCAACATTTCATCCTGGAATACTGTGCCGGGTGTTAACATATTACAGCATGTTCACAGAGAGCCCGACAGGAAAAATGTAATCAATCCCAGGAAAATGATAATTGATCCGCGAAAGGTGATTCAGACTTCAGTCCACTCTGTTCTACGCGCTTATGGCAACAGTGTGAACGTTCCCATGGATGTTGCCCTCATTTATCACTGTCGGGTGCCCCTTCAAGGAAGCCTTCCCAGAGAATCCCTCATCAGGGATACAACACTGTGGAGATATAACTTATCATTAATCATGAATGTTAACAAGGTGCTATATCAAACCATACTGTAAGCTCAAAAGTGAAACCTCGGTTAGAAGGAGGGAAAGCAGAGAGCTACTCGTATGGTGGGGAGGCAGAGGGTATAATTTAAAGATCATATTAAAATCGCTTCGACATGAAGCCTACATCTTACAGAGATTTAGGACAACAGCCTTTTTATGTCCCGTACAAAGGTAAATGCATTTGATTTGTGAACTGAATCGAGGTACCTTGTAAGAGTCCACAGTGATCGAGTGCTGGTTAAGAATTGGGTTCCTCAGATAAAGTCTTTACTGCAACTTTGTAAGACATGAGAGCTGAGGTATAGTGAGAAGACAGATAGCTCTTTTATATGCCTATAACTATGAAAGGTCATTATTCAAGGCCTAGGAAGTGACCATGCAGATATTAGAAAGTTAATATACCGATTTCCAGCTCTCTTTTTCTTTTCCCATCTTTATATAGGTTTTAGCTAGTACAATGAACCTGTAAACTACCTGAAGAAGGAGTGAATTAATTTTTGGTTATTTGTATCTCTGAAGTGCTTGGTGGATAAAAAAATACAGCTGTGCTTAGTGGTGCCTGTTAAAAGATGGCTTGGGACAGCATCTCCCAAATGAAGAGCTGCATTGTCTTTAACACTGTAACTCATTATAATCACAGATGCAGGATGAGAAGACACACCACCTGTAGCACTGAACTGTCACTTGTTAGAGGTATTTCTTCTTAAGGGAAATGGGAATTTGTAGCAGAGCCATGAGTCATTTAGTGACACCAAGGATCAATGCAGATGGTATTACTTCTGGAAGATGTAAAATGACTTTGGTTTCAATTAAAAAAAGAATATCGGTACTTCTCAACTGATTCAGCTAATGCAAAAGTTTTCAACCTATGTACAAAAAATACAACTACAGTCATTAATATCAAAGGTAACGTTGCTTAATTCTTGCAGTTTGTATGTCACTGAGTACAAAATTTGTATGTACCATGTTGAGTAAAAGGTAAACAAATAGATTGTGAAAATAATTGAGCAAAATCTAGCAGTTTCAACTGTAAAAAAATGAACCCCTTATATTCTTGGAAATAGTGTTTGTTAAAGTGGTGATGTATTGTAACACTAAACAGCTGTTGGAGTTTTGCTGATCTAAATGACTGTTCAGCTGTTTTTTTGAGACATGTAAGTTTAAGAAGAAGGGTGATGCCTCTTTTGTTACCCACAGCTGTTCTGAATTACTTAAGTGGTAGATACTGAGTTGTGTTGGAAAGCTTTAACCAGAGGTAAGGGATACAGATTGATGTTGAAGAAAAAGAGGCTATTGTGAACTGAAAAGAAGGCTATTTCCAGATGGAAGGATGAACAAACAACTACTTATGATCCATAATAGATTTTTTTTCTCTCGAACCTTGATGCCTCATAACAAACTGTTTCTTCATTCACAAAAATTAGACATCAGGTGGATTTTAGTCCTTTATGTGATGGGTAAGTCGAATTATGTTGCTTCCTTAGGTAGGTGTAACAGTACAGAAGCTGTGTCTTTTCCAACCTTTATCTAAAAATACTGCGAAGTAGTTGTTCACTTCTGCTGAAGGGTCAGATGGAAAGCAAAGCAAACAAAAAAACATTTGGTCACTGTAGTTTCACAATTTCAGTCATATTTTTTCTGTTTGTTAAGCCCCCAAAGCTATGTCCATTGTACTGATGTGCCAATGTGTTAGAACCTTCCTATGAAGTGATATCTGGGGGCACTGATAGTCTGACACTTTGGTGTATGACAGATGTGTATGTTTGAGAGCAGGTATGCTTTTTGTAATTTCTACACCAGTGTCATGTTTTCATTCCTTCATCTGTTTTGTGGTGGCACATGGAGCTCTGTCATTAGTGGATTAGCATCATTAGCTAGTAAGTGTCCAGGTGGAACTTTTATTTGGAAGTCTTCAAGAGACAGTCCGTAAATAACTGTTTGCTAATTGTGTTTATAATAATAATCACCTGCTATGTAACAGCCTAAAACTTCATTTATAAAACTAAAAGGGTAGAAGAGCAGTGTAGTGTGTATTGGGTACTTCTTATCATGCTGTTCTGCTTGCATACTCCGGGAAAAATGCAGAAAAGGAAAATTTACAGTTCTTAATTTGTTTAAAATTTTCTGCAACTTGTGAAATACTTGTGGCAGAATCCTTTTCCAACCACCACTCTGCAGCTTTTAACAAACTGTGGTACTTGCTTCACAGTGGCAGCAACATCTCCCAAAGTCTGTATCAACAAACTCTGGCAGCTATATTAACATCAAAGGTGCCTGCTGCAGTGGTACTATCTTGCTTGGCAAGAGGTCCATTTAGAATTTTAGCCTCATATAGTTTAGAAGGGGCATCTGGAAGTCCAGCTCCCTGCTCAAAGCAGGGTAAGGTCGCATGACATGCTCAGGACTTTGTTTAGGTAAGCTGGACGCACAGTCTCTCTGGGCAACTTGTTCCAGTCTTAAACTACCCTCACAGCAGAGAAGAGCTAGTTGGAATTTCTCTTCTTGCAACGTGTGACCATTGGCCCTTGTCCTGCTGCATGATGCTGAGATGAGTCTGACTTACTTTGTCTTCTCTATACACCTTCTTATGAGGTAGCTGGAGACAGCAGCAGTGCCTCCTCACCCCATGCTCGCCACCACCTTCCCTTCCCCACCATTCTCTCTGGAAGACTGAACTCAGCTCTCAGTTTCTCAGACATCTTGTGCTCCACCTCCCTGTCCCTCTCTATGGCCTCTCACGGGACTTGCTCCAGTGGGTCAGTCTGTTTTGTGCTGGTGAACTCAACATTGGACTCAGTGTGGCCTTGAGCACAGAACAGGGGTGAAGAATCTCTTCCCTTGAACTCCTAGTTATGTACCTGTTAATACAGTGCAGTATAGAGTTGGCCGCCTTTGTCACAAGGGCATATTGTAGAATCCTGTTCAATTTGCTGTGCAACAGCATTCCCAGGTCCTTTCCTGTAAAGCTGCTTTCCATCTAGTTGGCTCCAACCTGTCTGTTGTGTAGGGTGATTGTGTCTCAGGTGCAGGGTGGTGCATTTGCTTTGGTTAAACTTCATGAGATTTCTGTCAGCCCACTTGTCCGGTTTGTTGAGGACCCTCAGAATAGCATTCACTGTTGTTTCGCATATTGACTGCTTCCCCTTCCCATGGTTTCCCCTTCCCCTCCAAATTAGTATTGTTGGGAACTTGCTGAGAGTGGACTCTGCATCATAAAGGTCACTAATAAAGTAGTTAACCAATTCTAGCCCCTGAAGAACACTTCTATTAACTGGTTACCAGTGATAACCACTCTTCGAGCTTGGCAGGCCAGCCCATTTTCTACTTGTCTTGCAGTCCAAATATTCACCCCATACTTCACCGTTCTGGGTACGAGGACATTTCTGGCATGTTCCTGTCTAAACTCCTGCTGTGAAGTAATCTTTCAAAGCTAATGCAACGTTTTATAGCTGGCCCATCATCATGTGGCTCCTTTAGAGTAAGCTGGGTCACTGCACACACCATACACAGTATAGTTACTCCCACATTAAGAATGATGAAAACTGGGTTTCAAGACAAGTTATTGAAAGATTTCTGTTTCACGTAAGCTTCCTTCACTTTTGACTGAGACAACAAAAGCTCTGAGAGCATCATTTGTGCCCCAGTCAGCATGATTTGAATCGAGCACAGTGAATTTGGCTTCCAGTTGATAAAATCCTTGACTACAAACACCTTTTCAAAGTAAGTTTGTGTGAATACAGGTGGAAAACTGAGTACTTAAGACTCTAGCCTTGTATTCAAGAGATAGCACTCCAACTGTGACTTCATGCAGTTCCTACTGCGTCACTCAAATACTGATTCTTGCGTATGAAAACTGCCCTTCCATTGGTGTAATTCATACTGCATATATTTGGGAACCTTGGCTTTTGTTCAGTACTAAGTATGAAATTAGGTCTCCTTGGATAGTGGGAAGAAAAAAAAATCATACTAACTGTAGCAATGGTAGGCCATTTTATCTTTTCAAGGACATGAGCCAATCTTCATGAAAACCCATGTTTTCAAGTTGTGTAAAAAAAAAAAAAAAAAAAAAGACATTAAGGGGAGATTTTATTGTAAGGGAGGAGGGGAAACCAACCTAAAGCGTTTCTAAAGCATGTGATGTCATCAATACAGCTTTTAAGTACAAGTCAAATACCACAAAAGTATGTGGATAGGTATTTGCTAGTCAATAGTTAACTCGTGTACATCGGGTCTCCTATGATGATGAAAGCGAAAGACCTTTTTCTAGTCCTATACTTTTCTTCAGACTTTGGATACTTTTTCCACGCCCCCGCCCAAGATGTGGCAGTCTCACTGTTATTTGCCCCTGCTTTCCAAATCTAGATGTATCAACTACTTGAAGTGCATGATTATATTAACTGCAACTTTTGGAAAAAGTGAATGGCTGGTAGACATCATTTAATGTAAGAGAGTGACTCTTGCTGTAGAGATTGAACATCATCTTCCTATTCATTACACTTCTGCCTACCTGTGAACTAAGTTATGTTCTCACACAAACTACAGGAGATGCGGACTATAAATAAAACACTGATCAAGCCATTCTGAGTTACCATCAGCAAATATGATGAATACTGTCAGAGGTTCTCTAAGGTTAATTGTGACGGCAAGCTCCATTAGATGAAAAGTTGGCTCATTCTTGCTGAGGAGAGTTCATATTGACATGTTCCCGAACTTAAACAAATTATTATTGTTAGCATCTGATCCTAGTTAAAGGACTCATTTGATTCTTCTATTTCAAAGGCTAAGTATTTAAAGCTATCAGAAGGAAAAAACATTTTGAAGAGAATGATACTGGAGATAGAAAGGGTTTGTTATCTTCTGAGTTAAGCAGCCATGCACTGTAACCAGTATTTGCTGTTACACGTATACAAGCCTATGGTTCTGAAATAGTAGCTTCACCTTCTGTTTCAACAACAAAAAATAGCTCAGAAGTCAGGTCAAGCACTACTTCATTTCAGACTTGATGGTGGATTTGAATGGTTTACATGTTAAAAGCTATGCTTCAGAGCCCGAATACGTATGCTTAAACATGAGTACAGACAAAATTTTGTGGTGAATACTGTTGGCATGCTGTATTGCATTATGTCCAAAACCACCCATTCCCAAATGCCCAAATAAAAGTAAATGATTGTGCATTGCATGATGATACCATTAGGTGTGCAACTTTGGTTCATGCAAAGTCTCATTTTATGGACACGCTGCCGATAGTCCATATATTCCTGAAGATCCTGCATATGTGAGCTTTTCAGCCATGTTCTTTCCATAACACCAAATGGATACTATGGTCCGGCATACTGGTGGCAAAAACCAAGCCCATATCATTTTGGCCATTTAGTCCATTTAACCAAGACATTTCACCAGCCAAAAAGCTTGAGCCTCTCTTTGACTTCCTATACTCTGGAAGAGGCCAGCGGCTTATCAGTTTTTCTGTCCTCAAGTCCATTATATACAGGTATCTGTTATCAAACAGTAGAGCAAATATCTCTCCAAAGCCCAGCAAGGACACATTTGAGAAGTCAGGAGGTTTGATAACCCTAGAAGACAAGACAGCATTGTTACAAACTCTGTCACGATGTAGGCATGAACCTGCATTACTAAAACATATCCTTATGTGTCTATAGAAAGTAAGTGTCTAAACTCATCATTCTGAAAGGATTCAGAAAGAATTGGATGCAAATTCTTCAAATTAAGCAACTGAACACTTAGCTGCAGTCAGGCCTGTGGTCTCAGTTCTGGCTTTGTGCATTCAGGACAGACCCTTCTGACCTAAGTAAAAGTTAGGGTTTGAAAGGGATTCTGCACAGCACAAGGGGAAAAAAAAAAAAAAAAAAAAGTCTTGTTTCCAGATACACACAAAAGAGCAAATGTACTTGTGTTTTACAGTAAATTTCCATAGGGATTTCATGGCTCAATATCTTTAAATTAAGAGGTAAAACCTGTTATTATTATTTTGACCACTCTTTTAAAAGCTGGAAATAAAACACAGAAATGCCTTCTTGTGATAAGAAAGCAAGATAAATCATTCAAGATTGGTCCTTAACAGAATGCTGTTTTACTGATATTTAGCATAAGTTACACATTTTCATCTTGGGGAGAAATAAAAGTATTTGTTAGTTCCCCTACACCTTTAGGATATTTTTGCCTCAATAAATAAAACTTGAAACAGAAATTGAAGAGAGTAAGTTTTCCACAACTGACTGAGCATTTGATAATAGCATTACATAAAGCACAGAACTGAGGCACAAAAATGTATGGAGATGAAAATCTGCAGGGTAAACTAAGAGGTGAAATTACTCAGTTATTCTTTCTGATAAGAAGCACTTCCCTTGGAGTAGATCTTCCTATGGTAGATAGATACTGTACAAATATTCAGGCCATTTCAATTTAGAGTCTGCTAACAGTTCTAAAATGCAATTTTTTTCTTTAATAAGTTACAATCTTAGATGCCACCATTTCTGACAGATACAGCCTCGTTCTTTTTACAGAAACAGAATGCCATCCTGTTTGATCCCTTACTGTAGTCTGATAAACTTCACTATCACTCCACAGCGTTATTAAGAACGACAGATCAGTAGTGCTATAAGGAAAAAGAGTCTTTTAAATTTGTTTTCCCATGAAAGGACCCACAGAAATGGCTGCCTGGTTCTCTGTAGAGCAGTCTCCACAGCAACATTAACTTCTAGTCACTACCGTTTCACATTCACAACTACAGCACTGCAGTCTGATTTAAGTCTATATTGGAACTGTTGAGCTTATGGAATGAAAATATGAAAGAGGACTAGCCTGTGGCCAGAAACCAAAACAGCAATCAAATGATTCATATTAACAGATCATAAATTAGAATTAAACCTGGGCAATATGTGTAAAGTAAGATGTTTACAGAATTTTTATCTAGATTCTTTTGGCCTACATCTAAAGTAAGTTATTAAAACCAGTATGTTCTACTTCTTACTTATTTAAAGAAGACTAAGTCTTAAACTGAAACACTTACCTGAGAATATCATAGCTGGCAAAGTCCCACTGGTATAATCCTAGGGCTGAACTGCACACTATGTATTTACCATCAAAGTGCAGTCTGGGCTGTAGGGAGATGCTGCGATCTTCAGAAACGGACAGTGTTTTTAAGCACTTGCAGTTTATTTCCCTTCCAATAGGCCAAATCTACAATTAAAACACAGTTTAAGACCATAAAACATTCACATTATAAACCGTTACACAAATAGCCTCACAGTCTCTCTTTAAGCATCGGGTAAATGTGTGCATGTTTTTTCAGAAATATTTATCTCCTTTAGGTAGGAACA